CCCAGATACGATGAGTTTGTTAAGCTTCGGGGGCTACCGGAGACTCATGGACGAGACTGATGTCTACCACGTGGACTACGCGGAGCGCTTAGCTCAGAAGAAGGTACAGGAGAGCGTTCCTGTGATCATAGGCGAGGAAGCCGAAGCAAAGAGCAGTAAAGAACAGCAAGACGCGTTTGTACGAGGAACGAAGCACCTGAGTGAAGAGGATCGTGACTTGTTGTGGGCGCTGGTATCAAAGTATGAGCGGGCATGGCTCGCGCCGCGGGTTGGCCACGTTGGTTACAAAGTGAAGTTCGAGGTCACGGGTAAACCGTTCAAAGCGAGATTTCGACATTACGAGCCAAGCCAAAGGGAAGAGCTGAGCCGACAGATCGAGGCACAGCTGGCGCTGGGTGTCATGCGTTCTAGCAAAAGTGAGTGGGCTGCGTCTCCTCACATGGTGCCGAAGAAAATAGGAGAGTGGCGAGTTGTCCTTGACTATCGCCAACTTAATAAGCAGATGGTCTCGGACGCATATCCGATACCTCGACTGTGGACGAACCTGAGGACGTGTGCAGGTAGGAACTATTACGTAACACTAGACATGAACAAGGGATTCTGGAACATCCCGCTCGAGGAGGAGAGTGCTGATGTGTGCGCTACGCAAAAAATTTCCAATTTTTGAGACTAAACAAGTCGTGTGTGAGGTCACTCAGCGGACCGGTCGGTGAGCTGGTTGTGGGGTCGCACACCTTGACGGCTCGATGTTGTGTCGAACTGGTCGGCTGCTGACGTGGTGCTGCCTGCGTCATACGGGGAGCCCTCGGTGTCGGTTCTGCTAACTTGCATCGCTAGGCTGCTAACTCTCCCTGTATTTCAATAAAAAGTTTCGGCGGGCGAGACATAACAACTGAAAGCCGACCTTGCCCACTGACGCACCACTCAACACACCGGCCAGCCGGGTATACTTCGGCCACGCCTCCTCGGAGACGCACTTCATGCCTCCTCCACGTGATCACCGGGAGAGATGTCGATTACCTGCAGGGGTGATCCCTACAGCTTACGCGAGCGGCGGGGCACCAGGCGTCCCTACCGGATTCACGGTCCCAATCAGGGCCATTACGGGTGGTGGTCCGGATGCGGAATGGAGTTGTGAGCTAGTATGGAAGCAGCCAAAGCCCTCCAGGGCAATACGAGCACGGATGGTCAGGGCTGCTACACGGATAACGTGGTCGCCTTGGCTGGGCGCTCTCTACTCCTTGCCTATGGTCGCCCGTTCTATCTGGGAGGTGTTATTCCTCAAGCCCTCGACACAGGTTTCTTTTTACATAGGTGTTGTTCAGCCCGGAATCACAGCCCGGAATCACAGCCCGGAATTAAGTCAGGTTATTGTTTGCGCCCAAGACCGTCCTTATGGACGACGGGTTGCGTTTTGTTGGTTGATGAAGTTGTGCCTATGCAGCCCTGAAGAAAGCATATGGCAAGTGGGCGGATACTGACTTACACACGACCTTCGTCCACTGACTGGGCACACGACCTTCGTCCACAGCCGGTGTTTAATCAGTGTCCGCAACAATTTCCGATCGAAATTTGGTCCGAATTTTTTTACCATGAAGACACTAAGATGCACACACTTGAGAGGTTGCGAGGGCAGTGCCGTCCTCGCGGCGTTCGTCGGGGGCGACGGCGGCATGTCACCGCTGGACGGCTGCATTGCGCGGATGGCGGTGGTTTCGGCGGGTGGTGAGAAGGGCCAGGTGTTGGCTTTGGCACCGCCTTCCGAGTTCCTGCAAAGTGACTGGACTCAGTTCGACTGGACCAGTCGCTGGAACCGCGTACGTCCCTACCACCCGTCGGGCGCCTCGGAGGCCTCGCGGGCAGTCAAGAACGCACTCGCGCACACTCTCAACGAGGCACTCGAAGGCGTCGACGAAAGCGTCGTGGACGCGCTCTTCGTGGACGCATTTGATGCGCGTCGCGGTGACCGGCGCAACCTGGACCTTGGCCATGCGCCGCTGGAGATCCTGAACGTCCGCGCGCTTACGGACGATGAGTACGAGCAGCTGCGGGAAGAAGTAAACGACGAGTGGAAGCCCGTCCTCGACTATACGCGCGCGCCGCCCGACGCAGACCCTGAACGCCAACAGCTTTATGAAGACCGCGGCCCCACCCGCAGAACCGGCTGCACCCGGACAAGGCTATTCATCGGTCTAGGCATCGGCGCCGGAGTAACCATTGCCGGCATCGTGGCTGCGAAGTCTTTCTCCGAATCATCGCAAGACGTGGGGTCCTCGCAAATGTCCGTCCCCGGGCTCAATTCCTCCGAGGCGCTCCCAGAGCTCCCGGCCGCATTGGTGGGACCGAAGGCACGCGAATATCCAATAGACATCGCCGAGCTTGACCTCACCGAGCTTGGCGGGATGGAGGTTGACGGGAAGGAGGGGTGGTACGTCCAAGACTATCCAATACCCCTACCGCGTCAATCCGAGCTGCAGCTGGAGTTATTGAGGGTTCCGGAGTCGGTGTGTAGCAAGACGCATGTGGTCCTAAATCTCGAAACCAACAAGAGGGAGACCCCGTGGGGCTGGAGCGAGCTGGGCGGTTGGGGTGAGTGTGCTGAAACAGGTGGCAAGGTCGTATGCTACAACACCCGGGAGGACGCGCGCAGGTGCTACTACTTCGGCTCGCCGGGACTGTTCGACTTGCCCACCGTGTGGAAGGACATTGTATTCTACGAGTGGCCGAACAAGTGCGAAATAGAGTGCAACAGTCCGGAAGAACACGAGCTTCTCTTGCGTGACCGGATCGGCAAAGAGTGGGGCCGTTTCCTCCGTGGCGTAGATACAAGTACTCCCGAGGCAGTTAGTCAGCTCGGGCGGCGTGTGAAAGATACATTTGAAGTGGAGCCGCGCTGTTCTTGGCAAACCAACTACCACTGCCATGATCAAAAGTCCCCGCCAAGCTGCAGGTGCGGCATGGCCACTTTACGCAGTGAGGTTGTAATGACGTCCGGTGAACGCTTCGACAGCGGCGAGATTGTTGCCTTCAATACCTTCGCCGAAGAGTTGATTCCCGAGATAAGGCCATCGGCTGTCAAAAAATGGGACATCGTGGGCTGCAACTTCACATGCCAACATGTCAATTTTTCGAAGTTGCGGAAAATCGGTAATATGGACTGGAGCAAGTTTCCAAAGCCAAGAATTGCCAACTAACGTAGTCCCTAAAAACAAGCCCGATGCTCCAAGAAACAAAATCCGAGAACAAAGTCTTGCTTGATACTTTTTTGCGTCTAAGTAAAATCTATTTGGGGCGTGAATGAAGCTTGAAACGGGGGAGGATCCAAATCCTGCCCCGGATTTGGGTTTGCGCCGCGGCTTACAGAACAAGCAAAAGCCCGGCTCAACGGCTGGCCTCTGTCGAGAACTTAGTTTTTAGGGACCTGGTTGGGTTTTATAGTAGGAATCCGTCGGGCATGGGGGAATTGCCGTTATGCCGCGGAATGGACGAATTTTCTAACTCCAAAATTTAGGCCAAATGACGAGGGCTGTGAAGTGTGTTGCGAGTAGTGTGTGTGAAGCCGGTGCAGTGGCCTTGGGCGCGGTCGTCGTCCGGGTGAGCATGGGAGGACCTGTGCGTTTGGCAGGTGGCCAGGCCGGTCTGTTCAAGTTGCTGGTTAGAAGCCGGGAGGAAGAGACGTACACACTTGTTGTTGGAGACGGCGTGATGCATTGGGAAGATACGCGCGAATCGATAGGTACCTGCGAGCCCAGAGATGTGTGTGAACCGAGAGGTGTATGCGACTCTGGTGATGTGTCCGAAGACAACATGGCCGACAACAACATGGTCGACAACAACATGGTCGACAACAACATGGTCGACAACAACATGGCCGACAACAACATGGTCGACAACAACATGGTCGACAACAACATGGCCGACAACAACATGGTCGACAACAACATGGCCGATGGGGTCCAGACAGGCTGTGTGAGTTCTGACTTAATTGAGAAGCGCATTTGGAATATTCTGGATCGAAGCCGGAATATATCTGGCATCGTCTTGCCGTTGACACAATTGAAGAAGTTCAGGTGCAATATTCGGAACTCGCTGGAAGAAGAGTGTACACATATAAGTGGTGTCGTGGTGAATGGCAAAGTATTATATGATCTTGGTTTCCCCTGGCAACGACGATCGATGTCAGGGGTTGAACAACAACAAGTCTCAGTCAAACGTGAGCATCTAGATAGAAAGCTCCACATAGCAAGGACACGACTCGCTACGGTTGAGCAACTACTAAAAGCGAAGAGACAAGGTGATGCCGTCAAATGGCTCGAACGTCAATCACAACTTCGTAAAGAAAGGAAAGAACGACAACTTGAAATACATCGACTCATCAAAGAGCAACTCGATCTCCAATGAAACCTTTGGGGCTACCTTTGGGGAACGCGAGAGTTTTTGTTTCAACAACCTGTCAGTCAGAGAGTCTCCACTTGGTCACAGTCTTCACTTGGTCACAGTCTGCATTTGGCCACAGTCTTCACTTGGTCACAGTCTTCACTTGGTCACAGTCTTCACTTGGTCACGGTTTCCGGTTGGTCACAGTCTCCACTTGGTCACGGTTTCCGGTTGGTCACAGTCTTCACTTGGTTACAGTCTTCACTTGGTCGCAGTCTGCGTTTGGTCACAGTCTTCACTTGGTCACGGTTTCCGGTTGGTCACGGTCTCCACTTGGTCACAGTCTTCACTTGGTCACGGTCTTCACTTGGTCACGGTCTCCGGTAGGTCACGGTCTCCACTTGGTCACAGTCTGCATTTGGTCACAGTCTGCACTTGGTCACAGTCTGCATTTGGTCACGGTCTCCACTTGGTCACGGTCTTCACCTGGTCACGGTCTGCACTTGGTCACGGTCTGCACTTGGTCACAGTCTGCATTTGGTCACGGTCTCCACTTGGTCACGGTTTCCGGTTGGTCACGGTCTCCACTTGGTCACGGTCTCCACTTGGTCACGGTTTCCGGTTGGTCACGGTTTCCGGTTGGTCACGGTCTCCGGTTGGTCACGGTCTCCACTTGGGCACGGTCTTCACTTGGGCACGGTCTCCACTTGGGCACGGTCTCCGGTAGGTCACAGTCTCCGGTAGGTCACAGTCTGCATTTGGTCACAGTCTGCATTTGGTCACGGTCTCCACTTGGTCACGGTCTCCACTTGGTCACGGTCTGCACTTGGTCACGGTCTGCACTTGGTCACGGTCTGCATTTGGTCACAGTCTTCACTTGGCACAGTCTCCA